CGGGATTTTGCAATACGTGTGCTTTGAGGCGGGGAGGGGCGCAAGCGCGGCGGATGTGCAGGTAGATCTACGTCAGCCTCGCTCCTTCTGTTTGGTTGTTTGGTTGTGGGTGATTAGTGGCACCAACGTGTTGTGGTAGGTCAACGGTGGAGTGAAGACGTTTTGTTCGCCGGTTGGGGGTAGTGAACGCTGTTTTCCTTGGTCGTCACACCCCGGCACCAACTCCTTCTACCCCCCGCACCTCATTGCTACTGTTTTCGTTTGACTTCACCTCGCTACTTGGTGTTGTTTGCGGTGATCAACCTCCTCTCTGCAGGCCCTCCACCCAACCAGCGATGAATCGCCCAAGCTGGAGGGGGGGGGCAGCAGCACCAAGGGCTTTGGCAAAGTAACGCAGCGTACTGCGACCGACGGTGGCATTAGCCGTGGTAGCGGTAGCAGTAGGGTACGAGCGTCAACTGAAGCGCTGGCGCTGGACCTCAAGCCTTCCTGGGAAGGGGCAGCGGCGGAGGAACGCGGAAGAACGGAAGCGGGAAATTGGGCACAGGCAGCAGACGGAAAAATCGTTCTCCAGAACGGCTCAGCAAACGAAACTGGGAACGGTTTTGAGCACAGTTCGGAGAATGGGCCAGGGATCCACGCTTTGGCGAACGTTCCCGCTAGCGGCGCCAGCGACGGCGTCGAACTTCCAGCCCCAAGACATAGAGATGGCGGGATTCGAGGTGAGAAGAGAGGGGGGGTGGAGGTCTCCGCCGACAATGTGTGGGCGGCGTTCTTGTCCACCCGACCGTCGCTGTCGGCCGAGGACCGAGCACGGTACGACTCGGCGTACCGAAAATTTCGAGGTGGGTCGCGGCCGGCGGACTTTAACCCGATTAGCTCGGTCGATGATGGTAACCTCCGAACCGCCTTGAAGTAGGCTCGCGGTTGATTTACCCAGTCCTGGCCTATCTGCCTGTGAAGGTGTGGTGCTGGGTTTGGCGGCTGTCGTGGTGGGGGTTGATTTTGCGTTAAGATCGCATCGATCCCTTGGGACTACGGCTAGACGAAACGGAGGGGATTTGGACACGAAGGGCTATTGGTGTTGTTGGCTTACAGGAGTTGATGTTGTTGTTGTGAGTGGGGTTGTGGGTGAGGGTCACTCCCCCATATAGGTTCCATGTGAACGGTATGGAACTGGAGTTGTTCCCGGCGGATGTAGCGTCTTTGTGGTGGTTCGATTTTTCAAGTGAACGTGGATTGTTCGGCTAAATTGGCGTGCGTGCATTTTAGAAGAGTATCAGCCATTAGGTTTAGACGTGGAAACCCGGGGCAAAACATTCACGGAGGTTGAACACCCCCCTCCACGGCAAAGACGTTGCAAGGTTAGCTTATCCTTACGCCGTGATGAGGCATGCTCGTCTGGCGCCCAGCTCTTGCAATGTACGAGATGTACTTTTTTTTCTTTGTCTTCACTTCAAATCAGCGCGCACAGCACTGGTGCCGTTTACTCCAACCCGTGGTCTCACAGAAGAGCCCCTCTCTACCCTCCCCTCCTGCCGTACTTTGGCTTCGATTTTCTATTCGAGAAGAGTTCAGCACTCGCTTCCCTCTGTGTACACACGAACTAGCGCTATCCGCTAGTCCAGGAGCGGAAGCGAGAGAAAAACTCACTTTGAAAGAAAAGCTCGGGTACGCCGGAATTCGAACCACTCACCTGACCTCTAGAAGGTTTCGAGGATACCAACTAGATCACCGGGGCGACCGGTACTGTGATGAATGGTTCCACAAAGAACCACATTCAAACCGGCGACCTCCATGGTATCTATGGCCTTTTGACTACATCGAACATGCACCAAAGGACGACGAACCTCGTGCTCCTTTCACACTTTGTCGCAGGACACAACGTTGATCATATGGAACTATTGGTGATGCCAGAACACAAACAACCAAGTCTATACCAGAACGAAACCCCAAAGCTACCAAAAACTGTGCAATAGACATGCTTCATTGATGGGGCGGTCGACGTAGCGAACGCCGACATGATGTGCAACAACAGCCGCCGAAAGCCAGCAGGCCATACGCCGAGAGCACGAAAGAAAGGGTGAATGGCGACGCGAGGCGCGTTAATGCATCGCCAACCATACCAACAAAGGTCCGCGACGAACTAACCTGCAATAGATTGAGACCCAGAACTGTGTAGACTATACCAAGGAAGAGGCGACCGATTTCAGCGGAGGTGTAAGCTCGACGCTTTCGATTCCCGAGATGTGTAGTCTACACTCTCACACCCAGCACATGCAACCTCCGGCTGTTCGTTTGCTGTGACGGGCAATCGATAAGAATCGAAAACATCCGGTTAGGGCGAGAAGGGGCCCCCCACCATTCTTTTCGCCTTCAAACTCGAGAAGTTTCGCTCACCAAGAGATCGATGATGATGCAGCCCAGGGGTCCAGCATAACACCGGAGAACGAGCACTAAAGAGAAAGGGAGGAGCTTTCGCTGGGACCAGGTAATCTTCACTAGACTACATGTTATTACAAGAACATGTGTCGACGCTAAAGGACGAGAAAAGCCCCTCTCAACTAGACGGCGCGTAGATAGGCGCGGTTGTCTCAATGGATCACTTCTGGCCGACATGTGTGTCTCGTTTCTCCCTGTCCTGGGTATTTCAAATCATTCTCGCTGGACCCCTCCACACGGACGGACTACGTATTTCTCGTTGGATTCAGTAGCCGCGGTACCTGTCGCTCCTCAGCAGCCGGCGCGCCTTGGATTCAATCTGCCTCTTCTCTTCCGCCATCGTCGTGAACCTGGCACGAGAACAAACTTGTGTTTGGACAAATTCAAACGCGTATGCTGCTGCGTAACCGAGATGAGATACTCCAACAAGAATATCGATAACTTTGTCGTAGCAGAAGCGTGCGGGGTTAGAGGGAGCACGGGAGAGAGAGTCAGGGCATAGAATGGGTCCAGCTTCAACTTGCAACGAAACACGAGGTACTTTCGACGGTGCAGCTGGAAGTGACGATGTCATCACGTCACCTTTCGCGCGCTGCGAAGCAAACCACTAGGTGGGCATGCTACCGCCGCTCACCTCTCCACTAGTTCAGCGTTCTCCCGCTCGAGCACATCGCAACGCTTCCTGAGTGCCGAGGCGTCTCCGGAAACGCCAGCGAACTCGTCCTTGAGCGCGCACATCTCCGACCTCAGGGACATCTCGCTGGCTGTGCTCTCGGCCCAGGCCATCTCGTGCTCACGTAGCTTCATAACCTGGTATTGAGTGAGTAAGACTCAATTGTACCTGCGAACTATTGTCTCGGTTGTGAGGGGGACCAGCATCGAAAGCTTTGTCGACGGAAGGGCCGTGATTGCGATAGCTGGAATAAATTGCACATCTCGTTTGCACCTGGGGGCCCAAGAATACTTGAACGACGAATGATGTGCGTCGACTACGTTTTGGGGACAGAGTGAATCCCGCTTAGCACTGACCGAAAATTCCCACGCGCATCTACACACTACTTCGAAGTGCATCCATTTGTCAAGAAGTGGATGGAACACGAAGAAAAATGAATGTCATACCGTATCTTGCGCCAGCGCCAGAGATTCTCTGAGTTCGGTGCATGTGATATGGCTCTGTTCTAGCTTGCGGGTGCTGTGCGCGACCCGCCTCTTCTCAGCAGCCAGCTCCTGAGATAGCTCCTTCGCGTTTCGTTCAGAAAATGTACACACGCATTGTTAAATGCTCCAAGTAAAGCCGCTCGGGTATTGAGTTCATGATTGCTGCTTCACTTCGACATCAGCAAGGTTTACTAAATGACTCGTCAATTCACATGGCACGTGGCCCCTTACTCTCCCGTTACTTTTGTTGTAAGACTTCGAGACATTGTGAGAGAAGTGCTTCGAGGTACCCAACCCTCCTTGGCATTAACTCGCGATAGATGGATAACGTTATTTATTCACTCAGAGCGGAAAAGGTTTTCTAGATGAAGGCCGGACGACATGAAGTTCTGCGTTTGGAAGAGGCGGCGGCGGGTAAAGGTCACCTCGGTTTCCCGAAACAGGGAGCGGATACGTGGGTGTGCGTGTTTCAGCTTACCCCATTCCCTGTCACCGATCCGGTTCCAGTGGCATGGCCTTGACCCGCGAAATATCTTTCCGAACATTCCATATTCAGGTCTGATGCACTGCCAAATGGAGGCTACACCAAGCTGTTCGAAAATCCGTCTCACTCTCACTTCGTTGTGGGCGGCGGTTCGCCTGGCCATTTCGGTGAACTCCGCCAGCCTGACCATCACCTGATGAACCAAAAGGGATACACGCACTGAGTCGAGGAATTGACACACATACTGTAAGTTGAAAGATATATATATCCAGAACTGAAGGTAACCACCCATGGGCGGACAAAACAAGCTGGTTTGCACCGTCAGGAAGTGCGAAGGATCGACATTTGACTATTGGGCAAGAGTAAGGTAACCCCCTCGAAGTTGTGTAGAAGCCATAAGATGCCACCTCTATACACTAGAATCGGAAGGTGAGGATGGTCACTACTAAGAGTCGTCGTCGTAATCGAACACTACTGTAGGATGCCAAGCGTGAGATAAGACCGCTCCGACGAAGAGACACATGAAGAGGGCAACCGCAGGGGGTTACTGGAAGGTATCGGCACAAGCGTGCGTACAAGCTGCCGAGGGGTGTAAGTGCAGGGGCAATGGTGCTGACATGCTGGACGCGCGTCCTGTCCTGGCAACTGCGTAACTGTTTGTTGCGGGTAGCGGGACTTGGAGGCAGCGTCAACGAAAGGTTTCGTTCCCATACCGCGGCACCTTTTCACCGGACGAAACACCGCTATCGGCTAGTTCAAAATTGTTCTGCTGTTATATGGATATGCCATGGCACGGCCATCAGCACGTGTCTCGATTACGACGAGCCAGGCAAACTGACAAACTGTAGTGAAAAAACAGCGCTTTCACCCGGAGGTATCATAGTGGCCGAGGCCGAGATCGAGCAGTGACACGCATTCCTTCTTCACAGCAAGAACTGTTCGCCTAAGGACATCACCACAACCTTTTCCATGGGGGCTCAGGTCACTCACACCCTCATCCGTATCCGTGAGGTCGTCATCGCTCGTTGCGGCTCCTGCAGCCCTTGACGCGGTGGCTGGAGCAGGCACAGACTTCGTGCTGGGGGTAGGGCACTCTGTCTCACCCGTTCCCAAGCTAGTATTCCTTCGGAAATCGGCACCATTCCCAGGCATTGTACCGTCCCTGCCGTAGGATGCGCCCATCATTTCGGACTCGTTCGTCAGGGCTCCCCTGCTGCACTTCAGCACGCCGTCGGCGCCAGTGGATGTAGTTGCAACATCGGCGTCGGCTGCCGCCCGTGCTTCGACTGCCGCGGCGGATGCGAGCAGTCTGTTGGACGACTCGGTACGGAAGGCGGCGGCGGCGGCGGCGGCAGCGGCAGCGGTGGAAGTACCTGTGCTGCTCTTTTTTCTGCTGCCGCCGCTGATGTTGGTCTGAAACGCACTGTCCCACGAACGCGTTGGTCGCGGTGCGAGCCGGCTGTCGAGCATAGCACCCGATGGCGAAGGTCTGGTCGATGACGATGACGACCTCGAAGGGGTTCCACGGTCGTGGTATCCCGCCGCTGGAACCGCCGTTGCCCCTGCAGCCGTGGATTGTTCACCTGCTCCAGCGATCCCACCGCCATCGCAGAGCGCGTGGGGGTAAGAGAGGGAAGGTGACCCAGACCGTGACCGCTGTTGCTGATGCTTGTCCATGCTCCGGAGTAGTTGCCAAGCCTCGCCCTCGCTAACGAACGAAAGTTTCTCGTTGCAGCCCAAGAGTGAAAAATGCTGAAGCACGGCCGGCCCTGCTCCGGGTGTCTGTGGCTACCGCGGGAGGGAATCGGACTGAGCCCAAGCGTGAGAATGGAGGTGGAGCGGGAACTAGTACCAGCAGCAGCCAACGCAGCAGCGGCCACCGCAGCAGCAGCAACCGCAGCAGCAGCCATAGCAGCAGTAAGACCGGAAGCTGGCATCGATTCACTGTTGTGCTTCATGCATATGAGTCTACTTACATATCTGTCGACGTGCTGATAGTGACCGATGAATCCCGGGCCGTAGTTTCGGGAGAACGTCTACATCTCATTCCTACGAGATCTTAGCGCTACCGCAAGACCAACCAAAAACTGCATCGGGATGTCGCAATTACCCTACTGCACGCAGTTTGCGGCCGGTGATTGGCGTGGGAACAGCCGCGGTCATGTAGGTAGTCTGTGCATTTGGTGTAATGAAAAATGTCAGCCAAAAGCTGGAGTGTGGTTGTCGGCCATCCGCAAAGAAGAATAAATACATCCGTCGCATGTCTGGCTCACCGCTTTGGAGACGTGTGTGCTGCTGCGCTCGCTGATCGTCCTCAGTGTGTATGTCATGATGTGTCCTCTCATGCCATAATTGGGGGCCCCGCAAATTATTGTTGCAGGTTTGGGTTTTGTCAGGCGTGCTGGTTCGAAACCATTTCGTTGGTTCAGCGGTTACAGAATTTTCTTGGTTCTCGGGCCGACTCCAACCTCCAACCCCTCGCACAAACCAGAGAGCTCGAGCCGGCTGCGGCTATTTGGTTGAATGAGCTGTCAAGTACCGCGACTGCTCGTGGCTGTACAGCACGTCTTGCGCACGTGATAGGTGAGTTGTACTCGACAAAATGTGTCATCATACCGTTTCTCTCCCGATCACCTCTTTCTCAAGTACACACGGTTGACGTATGCATTGCTCGTCACAGCAGTAGTGCAGTAAATGCTGCTGTGCACAAGTACTGCCGAGGATCCATGCAAGTAGTGCATTCGTTGAGGGAAACTTTTCTGAGTGTACTGCCTGTGTGCTTACACTGCGAAGTTTGAGCCCATCGTACAGATATCCAGCTCTAGAGTGTTACAGCATGCTGACGGTGCTACTGTACGCATCGACCATTCCTTGTTGGAAGCACCTCGCCGAACGCGGTACGCGATCCAGTGTCAACGCCCCACGTCCTGCAACACACATGCACTGACGTCTTTTAACTGGTCAGCCGGTTAGCGCGGTCGATGCTAATAATAAAAACACATACACACTCGCGATGTGTTCAAACGTCATGGGCTACTGATCTCCACCGGGGCCAATCGGTTAGGATCTCTGCGACAACGATAGTAATGAGGGTAGTTCTTTTTGGAGTGACGGAGACGAAGGAAAGGGAAAGGGAAGAAAGGAGGACGAAAACGACGACGGAGGAGGAAAACATGGAGGAGTGGAAGAGAGCAAAGGGTTTGAGCCAGATGACCTTCCCCAAAACAAAAAACGCAGGGCTAGGGAAAAACTGCCCAGAGATTCTTGTCAAAATGAGGAGTGGAAGAGAGCAAAGGGTTTGAGCCAGATGACCTTCCCAAAACAAAAAACGCAGGGCTAGGGAAAAACTGCCCAGAGATTCTTGTCATAGTCTAATGAGGATCAGAATGATGGTAGCGAAAACAAGGAGGATGATGGTGAAAGNAAATGAGGAGTGGAAGAGAGCAAAGGGTTTGAGCCAGATGACCTTCCCAAAACAAAAAACGCAGGGCTAGGGAAAAACTGCCCAGAGATTCTTGTCATAGTCTAATGAGGATCAGAATGATGGTAGCGAAAACAAGGAGGATGATGGTGAAAGTACGAATAAACGAACTAGAGTACAAGGTAATAACCTTGGTAGAAGCGTCCAATTTTCTTCTGTTGCTGCGGTTTCTATCTTTGATTCGAAGGATAGTTTTGCCTACCCCATGCACCCCCTCACGGAGTCTCAGTTCATGGCAGATATAAGTGTTCTGTGTTTTCAACCGCACTAAGACGGACGTCTTTTCATTGGTCAGCCGGTTAGCGCGGTCGATGCGAATAATAATGACACATGCACACGCAGCACTGACCGGGCTGAAAGAGTTGCATAGCATAGAGTGTGCGTATCCGGTGGAGAGACGTTGTTTAGCAACGAAAGTCTGCACCGAAGTCAACGTCGTAGAGAGGTTTATGGGAACGCCATGTGCAGCTCTCGTGTGTGCGACGAGGAGCAAGATGTCGACACCAAGACTTCGACAACCCGGCTCGCCAACATCGGCGATGCCACCAACACCAACGACAACGCCGCCACCACCTCCCCGGAGCAGCATAGAACCTCCCGATGGTACTCATGGTGAAGCAACTGGTGACTTTAGAATCACACACTGAGAATGGCTCAAAGGGCCTCAGTTGGCGTGTACAGAGCTATTTCACACACTGCAGCTACCTTCTTTCGGCGCCCTTTCTGTCCCACAGCTGCCACAGCCATAGTATGCAGAGATGCCGCACATCCTGAACGCAGCAGTCATGACCCCCACCGTGGTGCGTGAGGCACCCCCACTGACGCCGTCAGGCACGGTACCCATCGCACATCAGCAGGAATCATGACAGCTACCATAGAGTGTGCGGTATCTCTGCATTCTGACTGCTGCGGATGTGTATCAGAACAGGCATTGGGAGGAGTACTGTAGCTCCGGACACCTATTGTACATTTGAGCGGAGCCACTTTTCATATCCGAGTGTGTTTCTGAAGTCATCAGTTGCTTCTTCATGAGCACCGTCTGGGGTGGGACTTCGAAGACTTTTTTTTGCTGCTCCGAGAAGGCGGTGGCGGCGTTGTCGTCGGTGTTCGAGGAAGCGCCGGTGTTGTCGCCGGCGTTGTCGGGGTCGTGGTAGAGCTGTTGCTCCTGATCGCATTCGGTGGCTTTACCATGGTCCTCGTTGTGTAAGCCATTGTGCTTAGCCGCCATGGCATCAAGATGACGCTCTTGGGCTGGTTCTGTGCATGACTGCTGCTGGCGCCAATGTGGTTTACGTGCTAGAGTGCTGCAGCAGATTGAGAATGACGAGTTCTCTACTCTTGCGGCTAGAAAGGTGCCCTCACGACGATGGAAGTGGGGCGCGTGTAGGACCTCGTGGACAGTTTGGGCAGATCTAGTGATACGAAAGAAATGTGATAAGAGGAGGTGAGACGAGGGGGGGTGGTCGTCATCGACCATCGAGGTCACGAAAAGAAGTACCTCTTCTCAGGGAACCTAGAAGACTTTGGACAGTCCAGTCGGAGCAAGTATCCCGGTGACGTTGGGCGATACAGGCAGACAGGCATGTAGGCGTGCTGATTCAGTACACCAAAGCCCCACACCACGGCAAAACATTGCGTCGTACAATTTCCCTCAACATTTCCGTAAACTAAGGAAACATCGCAAGAAAAAGAGCCCATTGAGGAACGGATACCGAAGAAGCTGTCTCTACTTTCTTCCACGCATGAAAGTCTTGGCACTGGGAACGAAACATGGCGGCCGTCGAGCAGCCAATGTCAACAACGTATGCCCCGTCAAGCGACGCCACTGAAGGTCTACCCCGCCCGGAGAGCAGGAGCAGCAACACGAAATCTCCGCGACTCGACGGCGCCGACGCGGTACGGCGGGACAGCACGACCCTGCCAGAGATACCGATGGCGCCGCCTGTCGACAGAGAGACGGGGCTCTTCTCGCAGCGCAATCTCGAGCAAGCCCCTAGAGCAATGAAAGAGCTAGCGCCCCTGGTCGCCATGCCTCCGCCGAGCGAGGCCACCGTTCACAGCAGGCTGGCCAAGCACCGCTACAGCCGGCTGGGGCGGAACCTCCTCTTTGAGGCGCGACCAGCGGTGAGATGAATGGTTCCAAGAAGAAGCAACAGAAGTATTACTGTATTCCCCATGCCAACGAAACAAAGGGATCTTGCTGCAGAAGCGAGTGCTTGCAAATCTCGGCTGGCGTTTTGGCTCAAAGGGGCATCTTGTGTCACCCTGCCAGTGCTGTAGCCTTTTGACCGACCGGGATCCCTGCCTGCTGCATTGTGCATTAACATGTGGGATCATTCATCGTCGTGCGATCACAAGTAGTGAACGCTCAGTGCAGCCAGTATTGATTGTTGTGTGAAAAGGATCTGGCTCTCAGCCCACTTAAACACGCTGCTGGTCGGCGGCCTAAGGCCCTTCAGACATCGAGATTGCAGGATGCCGCGAAAACATCCATGCCACCCTTCCTTCCGACAACGTCTTGGATCATGAAAACTCTCCGATAACAACAAAAAAGGTGGTCCATTTCGGAGGATACGTCCTGGGCAGGGCTCACTCTCAGTGCCTTCGAGTCGTCAATATCTCTCGCACCTCGCAACGCCTGCACATCCTGGGGCCTGCCACGGACAACTTCAAGGTGGGGCCACACTACTCGTACCAGCGACATACGTGGAGAGCAGTAGGGGAGCGTGGAGTTTGTTTGCACAGTTGTGTAGAAACGAATATGATTATTTTCTTGCATTGGTTGGGCTTGGAATATGTTGTCGATAATCACGATTTACGCTCGGCTTAAGATGTTGGAAGTCCGGCCATGGCACACTGGAGCCACTCGCTACAACGGGAAACGAATCGAATACTTTGAAAACATACTACTCGGGGGTTACGTGTGGCGTTGTTTTTTTTCCTTTGTCCAGATGCGGTGCAATAAGAAGGGGCTCGTTGCCCCTGGGTCGAGCGAGGTCATCACCGTCGACTTCCACCCTCGGGAGCACCGGTACCACTACGACTGCTTGCGTCTGCACACGGACTGCGAAAACCTCCTCGTTCCTCTGCACGCTTACCCGGTGATTGTTGAAGTGGGGGGGAGCTGGGACGTACGTTGTGTAGGGCACTGCCTCCGGCTGCAAGGGAGAGCGCGTCGGTGTGCAGTGACTGTTGAACCGTTTGCCGCTTTGTCGGCTGTCAGACCTGATTCGGGTACTATTGATTATTGCGGTCAGCTCTAGGTATTTCAATATGTTCTGTTTAGGCCTCAAAGGCTTCGCAATGATCCGAGAACCTAGCTCTATTGAGCACCCTGGAATGATATCGTAAAGGCTGTTGAAACACAGTCTGATCGTGTTTCGGCTGGTGTTGCCCCACAGGTAATGAACGACTTAATTTTCCCGGAGCGCCTGGATTTCGGCGTGCACGCGCTCGGGGAAACCGTTCACCGCGTCGTCAAGATGGTATGCAAGGTACGTTATTCTTTCGCCATGGGCGATTTCCAACGGATAGCTTCGCTGGGTGCGGTTCGTACGATTTTCACGATGTTCGGCCAGTGCTGCGTATGGAACATGTCGCTTCCGTGCTCCGAAGGCATGACCCATCTCTCCAACTGGCACCTCGAAGTGCACCTCACTCTCCCTGATGGCTACTCGCCTCTCCTTTCGACTACCGCTAGACCCAGCACAGCTCAGCCGCCTAATTTAGGCTCTGTTATGAACAACAATCTGGCAAAGCAATTGGCACTGGCGCTACGTATCCGCGGACGATGCCCCGGTCTCGACGCAGGTTCCTATCCAGTTCGAGTTCGAGATAGAGGTCACCAAATCTCACCCGCACTTCAAGATTGGTCCTCTTCGCGGAATGGTGCCAGCAAACGGAGCGGTTGAGGTGCCTTGCGACTACACCTCCCTAATTCGCCAATGTTTCGTGTGCACCTCCGGCTACGTGCAGCGTTAGAAAAGGGTGGGGTTGAACGGATAGAGAGTTTTCCTGCGTTATTGCCTCTGTGGCCCCCACTTCAAAATCCCAAGCATCCGCTTCAGACATGTACGTTGAAAAATACCATGGAAGAACGTACTCGAACTTCCCCTTCGCATGCATCAGGTGCACATCGAGCACACACCCGTCAACGCCAGCTCGGCCGAGATGCACCTCCTCGTCAGTGTCTCACAGGTGATTTCAGCCGAGCCCTTATAGTCTCCTGAGAAATTCACTGCGATGATGGAGTGATATCCCTATCCCAAGGAAGTCGTACGGGACAGGGCAGGAGCCGTTTGATGGCGAATGTTGCGGTCCACACTCTCGTCAAGCGTCGCTTGAACACCATCCAAAAATCAGCCCCCTGGAGCGAACGACCAAATAATCATTGCCCTCGGGAGACCCCTCCAGGTCATTCACACGCCAACACTCAACACGGGGTAAACTCGGAACTCGAATAGCTTCATGGTATGGCTACGCTGAACCGATGTATGTCACTACCATCTCACTACCATCGGTATCATTTCTACTAGGCGTAGACAACGGTTTTCTTTCTTGAAAAGGATGGGCAGTCAGTACGACGCCACACAAGCAAGGAGCAAGAGCAATCCGTCCCCTTCTACGCCATGCTTCCCTCGCGCTCTTCGAGTAGTTCAACTTCACGCCCATCGTGTGCGTGGTAACGGGAGCGGGTCGGCCCGGTGTAGTCAGAGAGGCCGCCCTCGACGCAACGGCATCAAACCTTGCCGAAGACAACGCCTTGCAAGACTCACTCGGCCCCTGCCGGAGCAGCCGCGCGCGCGCGCAAGCTCGTAGGCTACGCGGCGAGAGAGATCGGAAGCGGCAGCACCATCGACAGCAGCACCGGCGGAGGCGTGACGTGGGCTCTAAGGGGAGCTCCAACACGGGCACAACGCGGGGCCATGGCGCCGGTAACGGTTGCTGTAGTGATACCGCCGCCGCTGACGGTGGTGAAGATGGGGAGGGTTTCGAAGTAGCTACAAGAGTTAGAGGGGCGGGTGTACGAAGGGGGAAGGGGACGGGTGTACCGGCGGCAGAGGAAGGATTGGAGGCGAGGAGGGCGGAGGCCGGAGACGCGGAGGATGGCTGTGGGCTCGATGGCGGTGTCGACAATAGATATCTGGCGACTGCCGGGGAGGGTGTTGACTTGGTGAGACGTGATTTGCGCGATCATCGAGGAGGACGGCGGCACAGTAGCGGTGGAAAATCTCTTCTTGATAAATCGCTTGGTGCTTTCTTGCTTGCGACATTGTGAGGATTGTGGCGATTTATCGCCAACATGGTTAATTGTGAATCTTGAAGATCGAAAATAGACACGTGCTCCTATGTCCATACCAAAAGAACGAGACCTCCCGTGCACCTCATGGGAGTTGGTTGACATCGTCGAAACTGCACGAAACATTGTCTAAAAATATGTGGTACCTTCCGTTGTACTTCAGACGGTACTTACCAGCACAGCGAGATCTTCGTTTCGCACATATCCGTGAGGGCAAAGGCGACGCCAGATACATTGGTTGGTGCGCCTTAAGCCCCCACCCAGTCCCCCTACTGTCATGAATTGACACCAATGCAACCAGACATTGCGGTCGACGCGTTGGCCAAGCGAACTGCCTCGCACAGAAACCGGGGTTTAATCTGATGCCCCCGTTTCCGCAAACGTGAACGGCCAACGCAGATCCCGTCCCGAGCGAAAAACCATGTTGGATATGGCAGCAATGTTGGCAACGAAGTGCAGACTCTATCGTCAAGTCGAAACAATCCCTTCCTCCTCCTCTGTTTGCGTCCCGTGAAATTCAACACAGGTGGACACGTGGGGTATGAGGCCAACATCTGCGGAACATCACCCCTACGGTACGGGGAAAGGCTCCGGGGCGGTGTTCGACGCTGGAGGGGAGTGGCTGGCGGCTGAAAAGAGAGGGGAAATGAGACGACCGGTCGAGCCATGGTACGATGAATGAATTTTAGCCGCAAGAAGGTGCAGTGCTCGTCTAGAAATCACCGGCATACCACTACACTCCTGCGACACGAGCAACACGCAGCGCATCGCATCAAAAGGATTATCACCGCTGCTATCATCCTGCTATCATCCGCCTCGTGGCAATAAAGGGCGCTGCGGTCAGCTTTGACGTTTTCGAAGTCAACGGACCGCGGCAACGGACGGGCCATGTTCTGCACGGCCTTCCTGTTCCTCCTCTCCGCAAACGTCTGATCAAGGGTCTCTGGTTCTCCTTGTCTGTACCTTCTCCTATCTTTGCATGTTTTGGCCTGCGAAAAGGGTCCCGCCAACAGAAGGCAGCGTGTTCGGATCGACCGTGAAAGGTCCGACTAAGACAACCGTAGTCGAGGGTCTTGTGATTCCCTCCCGCCTCGACACCGTACAGGCTACCAACTTCGTTCTCACACAGCAGGCAAGAGATTTCATGATTCGATCTACTTCCAAGACTTTCGCTGGTTGTTATTTGCTAAGGGTATTTTGTTTGGTTCCTGTCGCCGGGCATGCCGACGAAATGCACGGTCGATTTCGTCGTGCAATACTTCCTGCGTTCGACATGACAGTCCACGCCGCGGAGCTGGTGGTTTGTCTCCCGGAAATATGGCCGACGGGAGATTCCGAAGAATCGCACGAGATGAAGTAGATCGATTATCGGAAACAATCGGTAGGCGGGTACCAGAGATAAGGTGTCCTGTTGTGTGCGAATGTTGTGGATTTGAACTAGACCTGGCGGTACTGCACTCCGAATCGAACTAGTGCGGAAAGTGGCCTGTAGGCGACGAATGAGAGACATGAATGAACCCGGCTTACTTATATTTCTGCGTACACGAAGACACCAGTCGCGTCGTATCCCTTATAGCTTACACTCTGCTTCTCGCTTGTGTTGTTATTTGTTTGCTGCTGGCGAACGATTATTTCCAGCCGGGGAAACTGAAACCAAAGGATCTAAAGGAGGCCATCAGGCGTACACGCGCGGAACGGCAGCGGCAGCTCCAGGAGCAAGAAGCCCTTCGCTCTCTCACTCTCACGGCATCCACCGAGCCTACTCATGACGACGGAAACGGCGGCAGTGGGGGGAGGAGTGGTCGTCGGGATCCGAGCCATCCAGGGGGGCGCCAGATCACCGACACTCCTGAGGGGGAGCGTGGCTTGCAGCAGGAGCGACTGCAGCAGCCGGCGCAGCTTGGGGGCAGGGCGATCTGCGCTTACGAAGCAACAGTTGTAGGGGGCGACGACGGGAGGAGCGGGGCGGCAACGAGGCAGCTAAAGGAGATGTCATTCTTGCAGGACTTGGCGGACACGGAGTCGGAGGAGAGAGAGAGATCTTTCAAGGTGAGCATGGCAGCTTGTTTCTGCCACACGTCGGACTACAGTATCAACCGGCCGCAACTAGTCGGGTTGGAACGCGTTTTGTGTGGACATGTTTTCGTGCATAGAACTGGGTCCATGCTATGTTCCTGAACAAATTAATTTGACTTCCGCCGGGAGGTTCAACCTTCGTCCACTCTCCATGTCCCGTGCGATGAGCTAAGCTCGAGCCGGTTCCATATCGAGAGCTTGGCGCAGATGCTCATTCCCCTGGTCGGTCTGGCACCACATCAATGTTGCAAGAAGTTGCAGCGAACGGCAATGGATGTCACGGACCGCAGCGGAAGGTCGACTCATTCCGATCATGACCACATTCCAATGGTTCATTTGAAAGCTGCACCCGAGGCGATCCTCATTCCGTTTCCGTACGTCCCACCTCTTGGCGCCGCCAGTTACTGGACGTGTGTGCCTTCCTCCCACATCATCGAAAGAATTTTCTTCCTCAACTCTCCCCTCCATCACCCTATCGCTTCCTTGCCATTGTCGTGCATCGAATGACCTTGTGCCGGGATCAGGCGAGCGTCGAACACGTCGGTGAACCCTTGCTATCCCAGCGAGAGGTGGAGAGAGTCCTGGAAGAACGGAGACGGGGCGAGCAGGCCTTGTTGAGGAGGAGGCGCGAGAAAGAGCGGGAGTCTCTGCAAACTTGCCTGAAGGGGCCCAGTGAAGTCGGCGCGAGGTGTGCCATGTGAACGAAGCCGTTCATGTTGCTTCGTACCCGCACAGTGTATCCGAGTACACACAAATGAGCATACTTCCGGTATTATTATCTATTTTCTTGGTCAACGGGGAACGGGAAACCTTTGGCTTTTGTCCAGGTACAATCGTGCCGCCCCCCGCCCTGGATCTCGGCGGTTTTTTGTTCCCTCCTTTTTTCCGTTGTCGACAAACCGCAGAGCTCCACCCGCGTGTAAAACTTCCGGTGGAATGCGAGACACTTCGTCAATAGCTTCACGTTGCCAGTTGACTCACACGAACACACTAGCTAAATTCTCTTGTGCGTTCTATTCCGAACAGGGAACTTTGCTCCCCGATGGTTCGCTAGCAACAGCGATCTTCCATACCCCTTTACCGCAATGCTCCCTCGTCGTGCTTGCGCTACAACCCAAGGTGTGCACGAGCTTCATTGCTGTTCACCGGGGAAGGCACCCAAGGGATCGGTTTCCGGCACAAGCCTGACTGGGACTTGTACAAGAACGACGACTGGGGGAGGCGGAGAGAGGTACTTCGGCGCCTGGTCAACCTGGTCGGTGCCTGGATTGTTCGGAGGAGGGCCGGAAGGCGACTTGGGGCTATTCAGGTACGCGATTGTAGCATTGGTTTGCGCGTCGAGCCTGCTCGAGACGTGCCGGTGCTGCTAGCGTGTTCAACATTAACTTGGTTGGTATGCCTTCTGTTTTCTGTGTGGTGGACAGTATTTGTCCGGTGTCGCACGCATTCTACACTCAAGCTCTGAAATAACATGCGCAAGATTCAGGGGCATTACCAGTCTCATGAACAAGGTGCGGGATTGCCGGCAGGCCAGGGTATTCAAAGCGTTGCGTTGACCAAACGTGATTCACTTCGCACGAATCAGATCGGTCATGCCTGCTGGACGGCTTTCACACGTTTTTCTGCGGGAGGAATGGCTGGTACACCAAGCCGTAGAGCGGCCCGGCAGACGATACTGTTCTGGGCCGGCAATACTCAATCGAGGGACATTTCTTGGTTCAAACTGAGGGGGCAATGCGATTGGATTCTGAAGTGACCGACTTCTCGAAGTTTTCTCACTACACTCAAGTGCCAGCATCTCAGCCATTCGGTGGTTGTTTACTAACTGTCCTGGCGTGAAAGTGGCCGTCAATCGTATTTCTGAACCTTTGTCTCGCATGTTCACAGGCTCGATTAAGCGGTCTCAGGGACAGGGCGCAGGTGGCGGCGATGGTGGAGCGCGACAACTACGAGGTGGGCAGAAAATGTTGTGCTGATGGTGATGGGTGCAGTACACCTCTTGTTCTCTTGTACCCTCACCTGCTCAACACGTCAAAAACAACAAGTGCCAGACACAGACGGTCTAGTTCGATCCGAAGTTAGCACGAACAGTAGTAAGTATTCCTTGGAACCGGAAACATCCCATGCATAACTGCTGGATCTACATATTTGTCATGTACTACTGGTACATGCACAAACTCCCGTCGCATTGTACCACAGGGCATTAAATCGGAAGGACCACACCCCCCCCGAGTACATTTTCATCTCCGTACCCCTTTCTTCGTACCCATCATGGGCTTGTTCGCGTTCTTCATGCAAGGTTTTAACGAGTGTAAGCCATCCAATGTCCTGAGTGTTAACAACCGTCGGCTCCTAGGGTTGAAGCCCATGCGGAATACCCTAAACAGAACTGGTCCCCAAACGTGCGCTAGTTCTTCAGCGTTGTTTGCTTCATGCGATGGGGTCTCTACGGCAAGGTCTAGGCTGACGGTAACTTTCGACCTTTCGCGTCCCCCCCCTCTAGAGCGCCGCAACCAAACCGTAATAATTTCACCAAACCGCCCCATTGCACCCCCCACACGCCCGTGTGTCCCACGATCGTAGGCAAAACTTAGCGCTGGGCCTCTGGCGGGCACTTCCCAAGAGTCATGGAAACCCGTCGCCGACAGGGGATCATTTGCAAACGAGAACAACGACGACGGTGTAGACGACGGCGGCTGGGAGTTTCCCGACCTCCTGGTGACGTCAGAAGCACTTGCGGCGGAGATGCTTGCGGAGTCGTCCGCAGGAAGAACGGCAATGGGCACAGGCAGCAGCGGGACACATGGGAGCGGGGGAGGAGAAAGAGGAGGTGGTCAATACACGAGACATTCGGCGGCGCCGCCACCCCCACCGCCGGAGTTCCAGCTGTCTGCCGAAGATGTCGATCAGTACAGGTTAGGTTGGCTTGGCTTCGGATCTATCGCGGATTTTTCGATATCAGTTTTCATGGTTTTCGCGCTCAAGCTTTTCGCCACCTGTATCCGCGGCGGAGGGCCCCGCCCGCAACGGGCAGCGGCTCATGACTGAGTACGAGTTGTCGCTCAACAGCTGCTTCGAGCCATCTTTCGACCCCTGTAGTGAAAGGCACCGCAGCAGACGATTAGCCGCGAGGCACGGTCTTGCGGATGATGCCGACAACCGTATCAGCTAGAAGCCATAGGGGTCATGGAACTCGGCGTCCATATCGTATTGCACCGCACACTGTATATGTGATACAGGTTTCCTATCTACGACGAGGGGGCCGCACTGTCTAGGAGAGAGGAGGTGGTGGACCCGGTGGGACCCCCAAGTGACTTTGTGGACATCGATCTCCTGCCTCTGAAAGAGCCGGAGGTGAGAAGACGCGACCTCCACAGTACCCCCGAAAAGTACCTGGGTAAAACTGAGTAACCTCTTGTGCCACACGGTACGTGATCGTCTTCCATTGGGATACTCAGAGCGAGGCGACACGACGCCTGAACCACCCGCCCTTCAAATACGTGTTTCCGCCTGCACCCTTGCCGTACACAAAAGTTTCATTGGCGACCGGTCCAAGAGCTTTACGGACAAGAGTCCACAACCCCCCCGCCATTGCGGATCGCTTCACAAACAATCTCAACACTATCGCACACCTGCTTCGCCGCGCGGCGCTTCACTTGTCGCACTACACGCGTAGGAGGGAAGATCCATGGGATATGTAAACGTCAATCCTCCCGGGCTAGGAACATACCCGAGCATCGAGACGTCGCACCCGCTAAGATGGTCCGCGTTCGAGGAGTGTGGTGTTCGACAGGTAGGGCTGTCGTTGCCCACTACCTTTGGATACTGCAGTACTCGTTTGACAACTGAGCTTGGGTTTCGCCCCATGAAAAATTATTGTGTTCTTCGAAGAATTAGCGTCGCACGACCAACAAGACGCTTTTTGCCGTATGCATTCGCTCGGTGCTGAACCAATATTGAAGCTATTTTCACTGGAAGCGCGCGGTACTGCGGAGCAGGACACCATCGAGCAGCGACGGCATGTGCAGCATGCCCCTACCAGTCCACCCCAACAACCACATTTCCGTCCGAACGCTACCCCGACCATCATTCAATCAGCCGAGAGACGAAGAAGGAGAAGAAGAAGGAGATGGAGAGTCGGATCTGTCCGCCGAGTTCGGTCGGAAGGCGTCCAGTAACGGTGTCCGTTCTGCCTCTGGATGGCGCCAGGGGCTGTCCACGACCGAGCGACGGCCAAGTAAGGCTACGCTTGGGAGAAGACGGAGTTCTGTCGGGCTCCGGTGAGATGGCAGAATGTGAAGGATAGGAAAACTTGACGTTTCAGGGGTCCATTCCATTGTTGCCGAAGCAGTATTCCCTTAAGAGTCTGCCGAATTCTTTGGCGAAAAGGACAAGGTAAAGAAGAATTCCTGAACAAACTAGCACGGGTCTGTGCTGGGTGATGATGACAACAGTGAATACGTCTACCTATCCGACGGCGACGACGACGAAGAAGAAGAAACAAATTGACACATCGAACTGCCGCCAAACACTCGGCAGGATGATCCCTGACACCGCGGACAACGCTGAGGAGGCTTGGCTCCGAGCAGCAGAGGCTGAGCTCACCGCGCTGGCAGCTGAGGCGGAAAAAGTAGACAGAATGCCAGATTCTCTGCTACTCCGTCCACCTCCCCCCGATGGCGTAGACCTGATAACACCGGACCCCAGGTATTCAAGGTTTTCTCTCACTAGAAAAACGATTCAGCCTTGAGGGGGCCTGCCTATTGCTTGGCGGATGGGGGGGGTGACAAGGACACGGTTGATGTGTAGTTAGAAACGTAGTTGCTTTGGGGTGTGGTTGTTCGACAGATTGCCCCAGTTCCAGATCTATTCAGACCTTGAGGTTTCATTCGGTTGGGGAATCAAGGAGTCCACATAGTCCACAACGGTCACCTACCTCATCATGGCACGAAACAGGAAGCACGCGATGATACACTATCGCACCTTGCGTGCCCCGGGCAGCAGCAAGGAGTGAGGCAGGTATGTTCGCTTCGGGTCTGAGTTGCTATCTAGCTGAGGCTTGGTTCCGACATTATTGTTTTGTCCCCCGTCGCCGTGTGTGTGCTGAGACCTTAAGGTATAAGGGGTTCCTGCCCGAGCTCCCAATAGATGAGGCCAGCCCGGAGTGGTGCCTGCGTCCGCAAGAGATCCCACTGGAGGTGAGCAAGCTGTTCTTCCAAGTCTACACGTACCTACAAACCCTGCATCTGACGGGCGCTCTGCGTCAAATGCTTCGGAAGAGAGCATCAGAGCCAACACATTATGACAAAATCCCTTTTCCGCTTCCTGTTTTCATAGTTTTGCCTTGTCCTTTTGGCATGTGGGTGTTTCAATGATTGACTCTCTTTCATGTGCGTATCGACTTCTTCATGTTACGTCGCTCATCACGGGCGAGTCCTCGCTGGAGGGAGTGACCAACCATTTGGTGCAATGTTTTCTTGGCCGTTTGATAGGTCCCCGTCACCAAGGGTCTCCTTCTAGGATACTCGCCGGGCACCACCACGCTCCGTGCCTACGCCGGCGCACCTCGCTTCTCCAGCTTTTGGAAACCCAAGCGCGAGCGTCGCTCCTCCGGCCTAGCGTGCATGAGGGGGCAGGCGTCCAGAGGCGTGTGGCAACCCGCCCGAGCGCCGCCGCCGCCGCCGCGGCCGAATAGGCGCGGAGATGAAGGGAACGGCGTCCAAGGCACCCGCGTTGTCGGCGGTGTCGGAAGCGTTCTCAACAGAGCGTCGCCAGGCGACGAAGCTCCTGCTGTGCGTGGCAGGGGGGGCGACAACACGTTTAGGCTGGCCGCCGACCACGCTACGGTCGCGGCCGCCGCCGGGGATGAGCTTAGCGCCAGCGAAAGTGAAGACGACGAGGACGACGCCCCGATGCCCACTCCTGCCGATGCTCGAACAGTGTTTGATGACACGGTGGCAGGGCGCGTCGGGGAAGCGGGACGGTCCCTGAGCGGCAGCAGCTACACCGACCCCCCTCTTAACAGCGACGGTGATAATGCCGCTTGTGTCAAGCGCGAGGGAAGTCTCGGCGGAGACGTGGGTGGACGAAAAGGGTTCGCCAGGGATAGGGCCACGGCGGCCTTGGAAGACGCGCGGAGAACGAAAAGACTCAAGGACGCCGAGAGGCTGGCGGATAGAATGGGTGCCATCGGAGCAGAGGTAGGTTTACCCGTACATGTGCCGAGGGTGACGACCAGTTTTGTTTCCCCACGACGACAGGGAACATGAGCAGCAGGGGCAGCCCCAGCCAGAGGTGTTTCCGGTGTGGAACAGTAGGGGAAAATCTACAAGCCAGGGTGTGATGCCGAAACGTGCTTGGTTTTTCATAGGCCTCTCTTTGTGTAGGTACGTTTCGGCTGTCCCACATGTTCGTAGCACTGCTTGATACCGATGTTGGGACCGCACATGCGGCAAGGGAAACGTGACAATACATGAAGAAGTACCATATACGAGTTGTGGGACTGAGAAGCCCATGGGCATACGAAAAACAGTGGATGGCTCCTCACGCCCCCTTCCCAACCTTGAATCATCAACGGTGGTGAAGATGTGTAGGATAGATCATATCGGAAGGCAGTGGGAAAATTCACGGCAGGTTGCATCCGGACAGGCACCAATAAGGCATGATCAGGGTTTTCCTGCACCCGCAGAGGTGGGAATGACGGCGAATGGGTTCAAACAATTAGAAACCGTTGCTACCACGACGCCAGAAGTGCAGAAGCCCGCCTAACCTCCCTTTCGTATGATAGCCACCCATGTTGCGAATCAGACCCGTGCGCCTCACGGGGGGTTGAAGTTGGTACTGTGCGGGTCTGGTTGACTGATTCCTTGGCAATGTCCGATCCGAGTTTGCAGGGACGCCAGGTGTTCGGCTCCAGCAACAACTGCAAAGTGATGCCGGCTCGCCCCTTTGCCGCCTTCCGCGCCCGATGTTGCCCGCTGAACTAGGTCCGAAACGTCAAGCACGCGTTCGTCCTGCAAACTCCATTCCACCAAATTCGACCAAGAGAGCCTGAAAGGACATGAGTCGGATGGAAATTTCGTCTTTGGCGTCGTTGTGCAGCTCCGTTGTCTTTACAGTAAGAACGCAAGGGAGCGCGATGGGAGCCAGGGGACTAATTCAAGAAAGGGAATTCAAGGACAACGTCGCAGAGCTTGCTCTTGTTCTCGGTGTACGAAACTATGCGATACGTGCAAGCGATACGTGACCAGCTGAACTCGCTAGCCAGTTGAGGTGTACTCCAACTGGAGTCCATTTGCTGGGGGGGGAATCATTGGTGGACCCGAGTTGTAAATATTGCCAGCATAAATAGGCCCTGGTGCTGCCCCATGGAGGATCGGACACGAATATTTGCAGTTGCCGCCGGGAAAGCACGCTGGGAACCACAGTTCGCTAGCAGAGTTCGATGTTCTCCCGTCAGCTTTGTCTATTGCTAATTATCAGCCTTGATTTTTCCCGTTCTTAATGAACGCAGTTATACTATCTACGGTAGTCGGTTCGGAATTTGGTGGCGCCAATCAATGCCTTCGTGGAGAACCCTGCAGCGCAAGACCCAAAGAATAGTCTAGCACCGTCAAAAGATCAACATTTTTTCATTGATGGATATTCGTCGGTGGTATTCTAGCGCCGCCCACTCTCTACAGCTGCTGTACACGTACGTAGAACTACCCGCCGTGTGAACGGCCGATTTCGACAGTTACGGTCTCTAGAGATCTCACTGCGCGGGAAAATGAATGTGAATGATTGTCTACCTGATCACGTTCAGTAGGACGACCCGAACCATGCACTTTATTGCCGAACCGTCAAGTCACGAGAAAGTACCCCATGGGCTGTCCTGCAATGCTTTAGACAACCTCACCAAGCTTGACTTTCATTGGTGCCATTTTCACGCCTTGCCAACGGATAGACCCATGTGCGTGCGTCCGGCAAACGGATTTTTTTTTCAGCCGCGTGGCCCGGAGAGTGGGCAGGCGTTGTAGGGTCCAGAGGGGCGCTGGGGTAGTGGGAACGACCCCATGGGACGCGTGGGACGCGTAGGATGGCGTGGGATATCTCAAGATTTTGGCGTTGGGGAAAATGCATCGGACGTTCTCCAATGTTCAAGCAGTGCCAACACTATTAGTCAAGACAGTGAAAGAAGAATGATCTTTTAGGGACAATTCGTTTGTGTATCACATGCACCGGTAGGCCACGCTGCACATGTGGATAATAGTACCTATTATACATATTTATACATTTGCAAACAAAATTGTCTACGTCACATGCATGTATGGCGTTCCACTGTTCGCGTCCGCTGCGGTTCAACGGTGCGATATTTTCTACCGACGCAACCAACCCTGATCGGTGCAACCACTCAATCCATCAATTCGAAAGAATGAATAAAACGTTGCCATGGCCTCGCTTGGCACAGTCCAACCCCTCACATACTTCCAAGGATCCCACAAAGTAAATCAGTTCGACGCTCGTGACGAAATCGTCGATTACCATCGCGGTATTGGTTGGGATTTTTCGTTAGAGTTTCGTTCGAGGGAACTCGCCATGTCGACCTCAATGTTGACAACGATACCGATACTAAACTGGAATGAGACACAGAGCAAAGCAGTAGCGTGGTTCGAACCGCCTCCGCTAACGTAGGAAGTGCTCGAGAACGTGGGACTCTTGTACAGACGTCAGCATCGTGGACGAAAGACATTGGCGCTCTCGTTGTCCTCGCCCACAGGTGTCAATATGACTCTCAGGATTTGCCAATACTGTGGGGACATCAGGCGGGCCTTCCGAGAAGAAAACCCTGATGAGCACAATCTCGGTGATTTCGAGCCCTTCCAACGTGCTGAATCTCACAATAAGGTAGACACGCGTTCCCCTTGCTGTTGCGTCATTATCATTTATTGTCTCTATTTAGAAGGTACCTGGACCGTGATCGCGTCGGCCTGGCTGCCCGCCAAGTTGATTTTTCCCCTCCTAATACGACCTGCGTATCGTTTCGTTCCTATTAATTCACCCGAGCTAGAAATCGACAGAAGCATATCCCCTTCTTGCTGGAATACTGTACATCTGGCAGCAGTGCTACGCCTCATTTCCGGGGCAGGTGGTGAGTGAGCGACCGAGCGTATGCGAGTCAGTGAATGAGAACACCCTTCAAAAATATGTCACCCAAACGTTTCCGTAGCAAAGTCTGGAAGGAACACGATATATATCTGTGAACGTACATGATTCATTCAGGTGGGCCTCGTCAACAGTTCCAGCGATTAGATCTTTGCTGCCCTTGACGATCTGCACCAATGGGCGGAAGAAATAGAATTCTCTGTGGAATTTCATAATACTCCATCAGTCTCCTGCATGCCACATCACGTTCGATAGAATCGTTGACTGTGGCAACATTGTTCGTGTGCCTTACCTCCCATCACGACTGTCTTGTTGCATCCGGACTCCAGATGGCAGTTGGCAGCCAGCTGTGAGTTGGTTGTATCCCGCCTGCTTGACGTTCGTCTTGGATCACCCAATGATTACGCTCCTCTACTCTCATATGTTCACTCCTACGGATCACCTGTATGATGTTTACCTACAGACTAATTGAATGCGTAGGTGATTAACATGCATGCTGTGAATGCTGTCGAGAAACTATAGTTCACTCCGGTGCAACTGCCAAGCAGCACTGCTCTACATACATGTATTGTACGCATGAATAGCATCAGCAGTACTTCAAGCGTCATATTCTATAGCCCTACCCTATACCGGAGGTTGTATCCCCGCAGCAGCACTATCTACCAGAGGTGTGTGCTTCGTGCTTTCGATGCGACATGTCCGCTACCTGGTCTCCGAACAGATCAGACCCTTTTGCTCTCTTTGATACTATGTACAGTAGTGGACCCTATATAGTGCAGGGGTCTGTCGTGAGAATTTACCTGCACTATAGCAGGCACCTGCACTACTGAAAAGGGTGCCCTCGATAGTGCAGGTTCTGCACTATTGGGGCTTTGAATATTCCTCAATAGTGCAGGTTCTGCACTATTGAGGCACTCTTCGACTTCACGTTGTGAGTGTGGCGTCCGCGCTATGCGGGGCCAACAGAGTACGAAATGGATCGAGATTGTGGATTAATAGTGGACGAAGCTAACTCTCAGTCCTCGTTGCCTGCCTTCCCTCGATGTTGGTGATAGAAAAAGACTTGCGTGTATAATAAATACGACAGAAAGCCCACTGCAAAAACACGAGCAACCATGTACTGCTGGCCCCTGCCATCATTACGTGATGATCAAACTCTCATGTCTCCCTGGCGCACCTGGCTTCGATTTAGCAAGAACCAACACACACACAACCAGCCAGGCGCAACCTCACTCCGTCGTGCCAATTTATCTGACCCCTGCCGCACCGGCTGCTATGTTGCAAGCAAAAAAAACACAAGTAAAAAAGAGAGAAAAACATGCAGGAAGGTCACTGCAAAGAAAAATCAAGCAAGCATGCACCCCGCACCCTTGCTAACGTCGTGACAAACTCCCTTATGACTGCCCGGCGCACCCGCTGCGATGTTGCGGGAAAAAAAAAAAAATAAACGAGAAAGGCGCATAGGAAGCTGACTGCAAGGAAAAAAAAAACAACCACGTACACCCGCCGCCTTCACTACGTCTCGACAAACTCTCATGTCTGCCTGACGCACCCGCTTAGCAGCATGCGCTGCGATAATCGCCATTTTTTCTTTCTGCAGATGGAACGCCGCGTCTCTATTGCCACTCTCATCTGCTGCCGATTCCAGGACGCCGAAGTGAGGTGACAGCTCACAATAAGCCGGTGGAGCACGGCACTCGCGCCCCGTGTTCTCACCGCCACCGCCATCAGGTGGTATCTCTTTGTGCTTGCCAGCTCTTGCGACGCACGAGCAGCAGATTCGCCTTGTTTCGATGTCGCCAACCATGCTGCCGCAGTTGCCGTGGAGCCGCCCGCCACATCCTCCATGACAGACGTGGCCATGAGGGGCTTGCGGCGTCTTGTCTGGTTGGTGGCACAGCTCACCGTCCGCACAAGGCATGGTGCGCCTCTGCGCTGCGTACAGCTCTTCCGTTCTGGACCCAACCACCATCGAGACCAAACCGCAGATAGACGGCAAGCGGCATCTCATGTAAGACAGTACCGCAAAAGACCACCAAATTGCATGTATTTGCAACAGCATGTCGCCTCCAGCCCCCGGTTTCGCCTCGTACTATGAGTTCTGTTCCGGGAGCGACTCGTCGTGGACTTCTTCACAATTAATGCCGACGATACCATTCGAGTCGGCAATAAGAATGACCGGTTTGGAGTCCTGTTCAACGTAGGAATTGCTGGCACGCAGCAGGTGCTGACCCCCTTCGCCCCTTGTCTCTCCCCCGCCCATCTGAAAGCAGGTCGAGCCCTTCTTCTACCACCGTGTCATTATTCAGGGCCAAGCAAGTCCCCACGACGCGTCCTCCACATCCACGAAGAACGAGAAGGTCGACAACGCTATACAATACCAGGCGAGGGGCGTTCAACAAAACTGAGACTGATGTGACTGTAGATCGACCGACAGATGACGAGATCGAAGGTGATTCTCTCGGCAACCGGCCTTCTGCACCACTTGCTCTTACGCAGCTTCGATCGTGGCTCTTCCCGTGCCATTGTCTCCACGCGTTGTGCCCAAAGGCCGGACATGAAGTACAAACCGGGGTGTAGGAACGACCACACTGGCGAGTCAAGTATCCTTCATCCTGACAACTGACAACGGGAACCTCAGCACTGCCGGAGATTGTGTGCTGGAGAATATGGTTGTCCACGTAGGCCAGAAAGCGTCTCCGTCAACTGAGAAAGGTGTCGGCGGTGCAATTTGACGGGTTCTAGGCACAGGAGTTCAGACAATACCTCCCAAAGGCAAACCCGGCACCCCAGTACCGCCATCATGACTCACCCCGCCTGGCCACGTTGGTCTCACCGGTGCAGATGAAGCCCCCCCAGGAGCAACCAGACCGTCGCCTCCTGGGCTGGTGCTGGCAGGTGCACCCGCCGACCGCCGCTGTGCTGCCCTAAGCTCCTCCGTCTCAGCCTTGGCCTCCTTCGTCTCAGCCTTGGCCTCCTTCGTCTCGGCCTTGGCAACATCTATGGCTCGTAGCGCCTCATCCAACCTAGTGCGCAGAGCTGCGTCCTCCTCCGTTCCAGACATATCAAACTAAAACTCTAAACCCTCCCTGCTGTCCCAGCCTCGAAGCGCTGTCCCAGCTGTAAACCCTGCTGTCCCGGTCCCCGCAATGGCCACCGCACGAGCGATGCACTGCTGTCCTCGCCCCCTTTGGCCGCGATCCCAGCTATGAAAATGNTCGTCTCGGCCTTGGCAACATCTATGGCTCGTAGCGCCTCATCCAACCTAGTGCGCAGAGCTGCGTCCTCCTCCGTTCCAGACATATCAAACTAAAACTCTAAACCCTCCCTGCTGTCCCAGCCTCGAAGCGCTGTCCCAGCTGTAAACCCTGCTGTCCCGGTCCCCGCAATGGCCACCGCACGAGCGATGCACTGCTGTCCTCGCCCCCTTTGGCCGCGATCCCAGCTATGAAAATGGTGTCCGCTGCCCCGATGGCCCAGCTCCAACCGCTCAGACGCCAATACCCACTGCTAACACCAGGCCTTACAATATATTGTGTTTGGGTGCGGTAGCTCGTCAGAGGCCGAGAGAGAAAGAAGATTGACTCAAGACCTTGTTGCTTACAGAGTGAGAGACATGCGGCAGGCAACACCATCGCCATGTAGCATGCCCATCAATAGATACCATCCGCGTATCCCCCGGAGGCCCCGTGGACAGTATTCTCTGCCGAGCACCCCAAACATGGGTACGCCCACTTTTGTCCATTCCCCTTTTCTTTCATGCACGAAACCGCTTACCGGTGATGGCCCGAATCGCCACTGCGAAACAAAGGTGATATTTCCTGGCAAAACACTGTTTTTCGAGTTGCCCCAGTAGAATATTCCATCGTTCGTGTTGGCCGCTCGACGGCCTGCGGCACCGTGGTCGTAGCAGTATCAACGACGTCGATCTTTAGTACCAACAGCAACAAGCCTTCACAAGGGCCTTCAAACCTCGCGGAACGTGCCTGACGGAATCAGCAAGCACCATGCCGATACGTAACACCCGTTATGTCTCCAAAATCATAGCCCACCTCCCATTTTGCTGCAACAGCAGCGTATATATCACGTTTCCACGCATGCGAACGTGGTATTCTGAGTCCAAACAATGACTTTCGAAAACACAACGAGACCGGGAGTCAAGCCCCCGTGCGTTCGTATATTCGGGCGAGTGGTGCGCGCGGGGAACCTGCCGATCAATCCGTTCGAATTTTGGGGCATAGCGCGCGCCAGGCCGCCTTTTTCGAATCATGACAACAATGGCAGGTGCCATAAGAGCGCCGCGTACACGAACCTGATCCGACAAGGAGGTGCAGGACCAGTGTGGGCGGATACGAGTTTGTTGGCGGGTGGATTGTCGAGCGCCCTTATCGGTGCATGCAAATGTAAACGTAAATTGGCGAAAAACAAATATTCTGTTCGCGTACCGAGCGATCAAGCGGCCTTTCGAGCTGGAAGACATCAAAACGACCGATCCCTAATCCTCCTGTGTGAAGCAGGGGCACCTTGAAGTGCTACGTCGAATCACAAAATGAATGACACCGGCCATCCCGTGTGGCGTAACTCACGAATGCGCGACGAACCTCTACCTCTACCTATTCTGTAAAATAGCCCCTCAAGCTCAAGCCCGCCAACTAACGGCGCTACCGCATGACGCGAGCATGACGTTGCAAAACACGCACGTGCTGGTGTCCGGGGGTGACGCCAATTCCGCCGTCGAGCCCCCCGAACCACCCACCCCCAATCCGTCTCCCTCATCACGGCAGGAAGGCGACAAAGCCCTCACGCATCTGCAAACCTCGCACCGCCTGTAGCCCACTCCGGGTATCGGCGCGAGGGTATCCATGCTCCTCCTGAAGCGGTGGCCTCGGCGGCACACGACCCAACCGGGCAGCTCAAGCGCGCCCGTTACTATCCCGTCCTCTCCGCCCCCCCCCTTGCCCCCGCTCGTCGAAGCGTTTTCTTCTCCAGCCGTCCTCGAGCCGACCTTGCCGTCGCCACCACCGCCGCCACTGCCTCCGCCTCCCGCAGGCGAGGCTCCAACCCCCGCGGGTATCGAAACGATTGAAATCGTGCCGCGTGCCCGGGGGTCATCCGCGCCCGCCACCGCGGGCGCCGCCGCCACTGCAGCAGCGGCAGCGGCGGCCGTATCGCTCAGAATCGGAGCGCCGCACAAGAGGCACGTTTCCTCTCCCGCAGAGGAATGGGGGCCGGCAGAGGAGGCGATAAGGACGGGGGCGGCAGCCTGCCCAGCAACCCCCTCCACCCCGCCACGTGAGACATCGTCACGACCATGCCTCACCCTGTTGTCGAGCATCTTTCCACTTCCCTTCGGCTCGAGGAGAGCGGCTCGGACGTCTTGCTCGAGAGGTAGATCGATCACCGGCGTCGCTAACGGCCCGGCGAGGAAACCGCCAGCGGTGCCACCCGTCCGTCCAAGCGCAGAGCGGGAGCGCGCGCTAGCCAGACCGCAGGCTGCCCGAAGGCAACGCTCCGCCGCCGCTCTCTGCTTCGCCACCGCCGCCGGCTGCCGTTGCTGCACGGCGCTTGTGCCGGCGGCCGTTCCGCCCACATCGTCAACGCTGCCGCCGCCCCCGCCGCCGCCGTTATCGGCCGCCGGCGTCGCCGATACCACGTCCTTTGGAACCTTTGCAGGTGTCGCTCGCCCCACCCCACCAGTCACGTCTCCGGGCGGTAGACGCACCTGTTCCCACGCCCTCATGAGAGCGAGGCGGGAGCGAGCGGCAGACGCGGCGGTGGAGGCCCGGGCCGCCATTTCCGCCGCAGACACGCGATCGGCGGCGCTCTTCCGGCGCTTGATCTTCTTCACCGTCGCCATTGACGCCGCCGATTTCTTGTCGAGCTCACTCTCGTTCCTGTACCGCCTGGGTCGCGAAGGTGCCGGGCAGTTCCCGGCAAATCGTGTCGTATTCTTTTTCGGTGGCGGCACCTGCTTCGAGGATGACCGCGGCCGCGGCTGCGGCTGCTGCTGGGGGGTCGGCGGGGGCGGCATGCCGGGTTTCCGGGTCGGCGCTGCCTTTCGTGATGATGCCGCATCTAGTGACCCCGCCGTCTCGTCCTCGTCCTCCTCCTCGTCGTCCTCTACGCCTTTGCCGTCTCTACTACCAACACCGGATATTTCACTATCGGAGGCAGCGTCAGCGGCTGCTGCGCCGTCATCACCGTTGCCATGGCCACCACAGCTGCTGTTGTCGTCGCCGCCACCGCCGCCATCGTCGTCTCCATCCTCGTCCTCGTCCTCGTCGGTGTCTCCCGGCCCGTCGCCGTTGTCCGCCACCGGCGGCACGTGGACGTCGGCCTGGCAACCGGCCACGCTTGCGGCCGTCGCTAGAAACACGTGGTGTAAACGCAGCAAGTCCCACAGCAAGGCCGGTGTTCGACTGCTGCCGCTGCTGCTGCTGCTTGCCGTGGTACCACCAAAGCCGCCACCGTCGTTGCTGCTGCCGCCGCCATTGCTGGCTTTCGGCAATACGTCATTGGCCACTTCGTCAGCAGCGGCGGCGGCTGTTGCTTCCGTTGTCGTCTTGAGGCGGGGACGCGAGCGAGTCGCGCCAGTTGGAGCTCCCTGGCGCGCTGCCTCGGCTGCCTTAAGGATGGCGTCCTCCAGGGCGTTGCGGACGGTCGGTATGAGAGAGAACGGAGTAATATCCTCTCGGGTGCTGTGCACCTGAGAAAATGGGGCCGAAAGGGGGGCGTGTTCCTTCGTTGGCTGCGATCACGCATCTCTTACGACGACACGGAGCACCGATCCTACTCGTGATGGAGGCACCTCCAACAATCGAACGCTCTGTGGAAATACGGTTGCCTGTGAGAATATTTCTTGCTTTACAAGGGAAGAGGCAACAATCGACTGGCTGCGGTCGGGGACTACCATTGGGCAGTGAGTTTCATCCTCTCGGTCCAACATAACGTCATCGGGGATACGCAGGAAAACCTGGCTGGTTCAATCAAGGGGGCTTTAAACTCCGATCGGTTACAAGGCCAACATTGTAAGGGCTGGGTGCCAACGCGGTCAGGACAATGGCAAGATTTTCCGCAGGATTCACACGAAAACACGCACCCTTGACCGACCCACGAGGACACATAACTCCGCGACGAAGAGGATGCCAAATATCAAACGGTACGCTGTCGGAATACTCTCAACGAGGCGGATTCAACGCCGCCATTTTCGGAACAGTCGCTGTGTTTGCCGCAGCGGTGTAGGGGGTGTGATCGCCTACGCAGATTGCGATTGGGTTGGTTCCCTGTGAGGACACTTGTTTCGCCCACATCGAAGACAGCACCACCTACTTCACCTGTCGAGTATACTGGATTTTGGTTTGGGAGTCCTTCAGGGAATGTGTCGGATGAAGATAAAGTGACAGAAACGTTGCGCGGACGTGGGGATGTGGTCAAAAACGACAAACACGACAGAGCGCGCCCCGCCGCAGGATCAACTTGAAACTTCCGGAGTAGAATACAAAGCCTTGACTCATGGTGCGTTGGCTCTCTAAAAAACACAACAGATTGTGAGTGCGGTCTGCATCACTTCCCGCCTGCTTGGGCCAATTCTTATATGACAATCACCCACCACTGCATCTCCGAGGATAGCCGCCCGAATGTACCACGCCCAATCCGTCAAAAGCACCCCCGACGACAGCGGAAAATTCCAGGAAGAATCCCGACCACCCGTCACGGTCGCCGCACGTTCCGCCGCCGGTGGCATCATCGGCGTTAGGACCACCCTGCAGTGCGTCCCCTTCCTCGCCGTGTTCTGCACCGCCTGTAGGCGTTTCGAGGGGGGGGGGGG